CAATTCCCATTGTCTTGAACTATCACCATTTTCTTGCACAATCCTGCCCGTTTCGTTTCCATCCTTGCCAGAACCAAAACTCATTGTGACATAGCATTTTTGTGGTTAATATATTTTGTTGGGTGGTGCATGTTAGGGAGTTGATTTTCAGCTGCACTTGTTATGTTTTGTTTATATTTCCATAAATGATGCTTGATAGATTGGTCCGTGCTGTAGTCACAACTTCTGTTTCTCTGTGCTTGCAGGTGTCTCATCGAACTTAGAGGGGAAGCCTGTTACGTTTCATACCGTGTATATGTTCATCAATACAGTGCGTAAATATGTTTGTTGACATGTATGTATAGACAGACATCTGGGGTTTGGAGTAGTGATTTTTTATTTATTTATGAAATCATGATAAACTCATGTTTCCTTTATGCCTTCTGAGGTTCTTACTTGCATTGAAGTGAATTCTTTCCAAATGGCATTAAGCAGTAGGTCATCAGGATTGTGTTTAGCATTCTTGAGAGGGATTTGGGATTTTATTAGATATTTTTGTGCTTCCACTTCTTTCCTTTCTCTCTTCCCCCTTTTGTGTCATTAAACTTAAAATGGGGAATAAATAAAGCACGTAGTATGGATCATAAATCTGGGTTTTTAGCATTTTTGTTTTAGTTCTTTAGGTCTACCGGGCATCTCTAGCTCCACAGGAAAGTGGCTATGCTTCCTTCAAACACCCGACCAACTGTTTTATGCTTGATTTTGCTGGCATTTTTTCCGCGCACAGCCTGTTGTTATTTGCTTCATAAAGCCGCAGCAAATGAAAATAGGTGCATATATTCTCACTTCAAAGATGCTTACAATTTCCAACTGAAGGAAACCATTGAGCAGGAGTGTCTCTACTGTCACAACTATCGTATTGCAGTGTTAAGTTCAGAGATCATTCTTTATAATGGACATTATTCACTGTAACTCGCAAGTGATCCCTGAGGAGACCTCCTCCCAATCATCCAGAATCATATTCTTGTGGCAGTAATTAATTATAAAGAATTAGCATCGGATCTTCCGCTCTGCCAGAAATCCAAGAACATGCGTATGCAAATGTGGATTTTGGAAACATTCTGGTATCTTACTAAACTTGTGACAAAATAATCGGATTTTTTTGAAGTTGGAATCTATTGATACAACATGACATGAGGTAGAAGGTTTGATCCTATTGTTTTGACCAATTTTTTTTTAAAAAAGAAGTTAACATGTTGATGATTGAGTTTTGATTGGGTTAGCTTTGAGTTGACCAGGTCTCTAAATCAACCAAGCCAAGTTTTTTTTAATTCGTATTGGTTCAGATCATAAATTAGATGAATTCTATATGGACTCCAAAACCTGTACGTGTTTTAAAGCAATGGTTAGGAGTGGAGGATGATTGCAACATTATTAATCACGGGTCTGTCTCTAAATCAACCTAAATTTTTAATGGAACCAGCCGAGTGTTTTTTTATTTATTTTTTCAATCAATATCAATTCAAGCTCTAAATTAATTGAGTTTCAAATCAACCCGTTATACCTGTCAATGTTCATAACACTTTATCAGCCCGTTATACCTGTCAATGTTCATAACACTTTCTGTCCTAAATATGAACGCAAGGGAGAAGACATTTTTTTTCCTCGGCCAAGAAAGAGTGAGGAAACTGTTGCCATAATCAATCACTCAAGTAAACTCAACTCAAACACAAGATGCATGTGCTCATGTATCCTTGAGAGGAGAATTCAAGTCTATCATTGCCGACCAGCCTTGAAGAAGTAGGGTCCTCTTAAACAAAAACAAAGAAAATAGAGTTCACGCATCTGAACCAGAAATGGTCTCTTCTTTTAAGAAGTTGCTGTTGAATTTCTCTTTGAAATATATTTTGGGCCAACCTATAAATCAATAAAGTCCACGAATTTTTATAGAGAATGACTTTGTTGCTTCACCTTTTCGACAATGTTTTTGGTTTAAAATTGTTATTTATTGTCATTCCCAGTTATTAAACTTGGAAGCTGACTTTAAATGAGCAGTCCACTAACAACTCAAGTTAGAACCCTATTCTCTAGTTGTCTTTTAAAATAAAAAAAATTAAATAATATGGTTTTGATTTTTTAGAAAAACATTTCAGTTGATTTAAATTATCCCTTCCAAGCTATAATTTTAATTTTTTTCTCGAATTAACCCATCAAGATAGTATCCTGGATAAGAATGAATCCATCTTAAATGTTTCATTGAGGATTGTAGAATTTTGCTTACCCTAGCCCTTTAATTAGAATATGATATTGTCAACATAGGCTTCAGCATCATTAAAAGTACATGACCGGATCCAATATCTTTAACATATATAATAGTCTTCCCTGCCTGCATTGCCGTGCTTAGGTTTCTGTTCATAGTCTTATGCTAATACGAAAGGGATCCATGGACTTTACAAATGTCAAATCTACAGGCAACATTTAATTTGTCATCATCCACTCTATTTTCATCAGCATGGTATCCATAGGAATTTTTTATTTTTATTTTTTCTAATCAAATTTCTTGAAGTACGTGTGGTTGCCCCAGTACTGATGAATCTTCGTAGAAACATGAGGGCATGATCCTCCAAAAGAAATACATGTAATTTTAATTATTCAATTTAGTCCTCCAATCCATGTAATTTTAATTATTCAATTTAGTCCCCCAATCTCCATATTTACTTGCAATATGAACAAGAAATAATTAAGGGACTAAATTATTTTTCTCTAATCATGTTTCTTCTGGATACTTGGTTCCAATTTTTCTTCTCAAGAAGTATTTTCAAAAGATTCTTTTCCAAGATATATAAGTTTTGAAAATATAGGTATACAATATGCTTGCCAGATTATCTAAGATTTTTCAAAGTGTTTTTTAAAATATTTTTATTTATCTTTAAGTAATTTTTTTATTGATTTACTATATCCATATTAAAAATAAATAAAAAAACGTGAAAAGTCTTATTTTTAATTAAAAACACTTTTACAATAACATTTTACATAGCATTACTAAAACACACACTTAATTACAAGGTCAACCTCTTCATACTTGATTTTTCTTACTTGGTATGGATTATCCCCGTGCAAGAAATTGAAATTCTATTCAAGGATTGTCGACACTATTCCTTTATTTCTTGTGAAAAAAAACATGATCACCGATGTGCCTAGACCATCTATATATATATATATATATGAAGGATCTTGTGTTAGTGGGATTTTACCCATTCTTCCTGTACCGATGATCCTGATCACCCACCAAGAATTAAGTATTAAAACTACAAAGATTGCATATGCATATATCCATGATGTTTCACTTCATTATTTATAAAAATTGCAATTAGTGTGATCCAGTCGAGTCAAGCTTTTGAGATTCGGAATTCCACTAACTGATTAAGTTCACTTAATTATGATACCATTAAGTTATGATCCCAAGAAAAAAAAAAGAAGAGATAATTAAAATAAAAAATGCATGTTTTTTCGTCATTTATTTTCTTGAAAAGACATAAATCTACTCTGAAATTATCTTCCATATATATTTATTTTTATCTTTTTAATTATATATATATATATATAAAATTATATTTCTGTCCCCCCTATAAATTTTTTTTTTATCCTAATACACTAGCCAAACTCATCCTAAACAATTAATAACGGTGATTATTCTCAATGCTAATTAATTAGTTTCACCAGAAATTTGGGTGCCGCATTGTGAAAGAATGAAATCATAATACAGTTATTCCTTGGGCCCACAATATATTAGGACAAAAATAAGGAACATGATCATCCCTAATGCCGTCGGGTTTCAAGGGCCACGAACTTTTTTTTTTGGATTAATGTGGGTGTCCGGGCTAGTTTGCGTGTATTATGATTAATTCTACAGGTTTTGAAATTAATAACCATGTAAGCTTACAGTTATTCCTTGGGCCCACAATATATCAGGACAAAAATAAAGGAACATGATCATCCCTAATCCCGTCGTGTTTCAAGGGGCAAGAACTTTCATAACCTCTTAATCCCAAGTCTTTACCACTTAATTACCACCTAAATAGTTGGGGCAAAAACTTTCTTACGTACAAGGGAAGCACCACAATATATCCAATGTTATTTCAAAAAAATATAATTAAATTAAATTAAAATAATATTATTTAAAAAGATATATTGAATAAACCTAGTTTTTCCAGATTAATTAACTCAATTTATCCATATAAACATGTCGCTGGGTCACCTTATCATACCGATAATAAATAAATAAATAAAAACCCTTAGCGTAAAGAAAAGAAAACAAACGTTCATGACTAAAACGTTGCTTGCACAAAATCATGAAAATTAACGAAGTACAAAACAAATCAATGGATAGACGATGAATGTGGCGACTATCTATTGCCATTGGTCCAATTGCCTATGCAGGTGATTGGTCGGAGTGATACAAGTGCCATTGACTCATGATGGAGGTTTGTTTACTTTTTAATATGTTTTATGTTTGAAAATATATAAAAGTAATCTTTTTTATTTTAAAAAAATATTTTCGATATTATTATATTAAAATAATCAAAAAATATTAAAAAAATATTTTTTTTAAATCACAAAATATTATTTTAACCGTAAAAACAAATAATATCTCAATGCATCTATTTATTTATTTTTATTATAACATAAGAAAAAAAATCTTTTTTCTGTATATTTTTTCGGTAAAACCATTACATTATAAATGAATAACCAAAAGATCACATGTATTCATTTCTCTTTTCTTTTATTTGAAAAATATTTTATTGAATTACTTATATATATAATTGCTTTTTATTTTTTTAGTGATTCTCGTATCGAAGTTCAACAACACAATCAAGTCTCCGTATATACATATACATTGCTTTCTAGCTAAACCTAAAACATTTACTAATTACAGTATGCACATATTGTCAGCAAAATATAATTAAGCAGAGGTGGGGGCATCGAAGGTAACAACTTAAACAAGGAACAAGAAAAGAAATGGAGAGTGTAAGAAGAAAAAGTCCTGAGATATTTGTCTATATATGCTACTTCTTGACCCTTTCTTCTGCCTTTCGAGGAACCAGCGTAACCAGTTTATCATTTCATATCCAAGGCCGGCAGGCCAGCCACAGCGCAGCTCCCGTCCAGAGAGAATATTAAAAATCTCTATTCGCATGGGAAATTGTTGGGGGACTACTCCTGTCACTAACCATAATAGCCCCACCCCTACAAAGCCTTCTACTCCAGGTAATATTTCATTGATCATTACTTTTTTTTCTTGGATTCTTCGAGATTTAAGGGGGGGTTTCTTGTAAATTTTGTTTTATGTACGTGTTAATGCAGAAACAACATGGAACCAGAGCAAAGAAAATGGACTGGGGAGCAGAAGCAGCAGCCAGTGCAAGGCAAAAGAAGATGACAAGATTGGTATGGGTATGGAAAAGAAGGGAAAGGATGAAGTAGAAATGATTCCTGCAAGTAGACAGATTATATTGGCACCAAAGGTGTTCACTCTAGCAGAGTTGAAAAGTGCTACTAGGAATTTTAAACCTAATACTGTGCTCGGGGAAGGTGGATTCGGCAGAGTTTTTAAGGGTTGGGTCGATGAGAAGACTTACGCGCCAGCTAAAGTTGGCACTGGCATGGCTGTAGCAGTCAAGAAATCAAGCCCAGAGAGCTCTCAAGGCCTAGAGGAGTGGCAGGTAATCCCCCCCCCCCCCTCCCCCGGATGAACATTTCCTCCTTGTCTACGAGTACATGCAGAAGGGAAGCTTGGAAAAGCACCTTTTCAGAAGTAAGAACCCCGTACATAATAGTAATTTTAATTCTTGAAATAGAGAAAAGATCGATAGAGAGAACAACAAAGATATATTTTCATAATCATATAGGTGGTGATATAAAAATTTGGGATTAAGAGATTTGTTTTTTATATGATCTCAGTTTCAAGTCTTTAATTACTTATATAATAGCCATTAAAGGCTTATATAGTCGTTAATTTTAGGATCTGTGAGATTAGTTATGGTATGCGCAAGCTGGTCCGGACACCCACATTAATCTAAAAAAAAAAGATATTATTAACCATTTAGGGTG